ATACATACTTCACGAATATGAAAAGACATTTCCAATTTAACATTGTCAGATGTTGGCTCCTATATTACTGCAATCTGCCAATCTGCACCATGGGGTTTAAACAAAATAGAAGAGATAAGACTGCAGATTTTTTAATATAACCATATGTGAAAAAATAATCATAATTTTTTATCTCACCTCTTCGAACACATGACAGATAAAACCTGTTTCAGAAGTGGGTAACTAAAGTCCTACACCAGGGTATAGCGTATGTCAGATATTACTTAACCTACCAGGATGGCAAGCTGCTTGCTTATTTGTGTCTTGTTCTGGGAGCATTTCCATAGGACTGAATGCATGTGACATCATCTGATTACAAATAATCAAATATTCAGCCATTCTAAACKAAACTGGACAAAGAGGCTTTGCATCTATCAGTAGGAAGTTTTATACCCTTCTTCTGGGATAACTGAATCTTCAGGAGACTATGGCTATGACCCTATAGAATGTAGAATGCTTAGAATGTAAGCCTATAAATGTAGACAATCATGACAATTATTTTTATTCTATGGTACGTAAAAAGTCACATTGATATGTGTATGAAGATGAATACCATACTTTATCTTTTTTTTTCCTTAGTCCCTCTCTTTTTACTGCATCACCCTTTGCTCTGTTCCTGGCTCTTTCCCTCCTGTTCTTATCTTACTTTTAGCTTTTTTTCTTTTCTCACTTCACTGGGTTGGTTCCTTCTCTCTGGCTCTTCTTTCCTTCATCTTTCTAAAATCCTTTATTCTATTTCTTCATTTGCCTTCTCTCTCAGCCATTTTATTCTTCCGAACTTCTCAGAATCATCCTTTATCTGTGCCTGGTTTACTCCCCACTCCTGCCACACACACATGCTTATTATCACTTTAATCTGTCCCTCACTTCCCATCTGTTCATTATCTCCAGGTTGTCCATCTCATCCTGTTACATACAGACCATGTTGCTTCTTGCTGCCCACGTAAGAAAAAGAGGAATCTTTTAGCTGGCCTGCTTTTCTTCATTCCACTGTATCTTTCTCATACCACTTCCCACTTCATAGTGAATGGTAATAATAATTTTAAAATATAATTGAAAAAAAACCCAAACGCAAAAAAATCCCCACAGTTCTGGATCTGTGAAAAAAGACAGGGTCACTTTGCTTTTGTGTGAGGTACCAAATATATAGGCTTGCTTTTATTGACTCTATTTCATCTTGCTGCTGCTGCTGGCATTCCAAAGAATTTATATATTTTAACAGTCTTTTTGCTCCGTCTTTTAAACATAGGAACTCATAGCAGCTCTTGAGAACAGAGGAATCACTAAAAACAGTCTGAAGAGAGCCCACTGGACTGGCTAAGGAACTGAAAAATGTTTTGTGCAAAAGAAAAAGAGCACAGAAGCAGTATTTTACTAGGGTTTTTTTSTTTTAAAGGAGATTTTGGGTTTTAGACCCTGCTAAACAATTTCAATATTTGTGGAGTTTCCAGTACGCTTTGGGATCACTTCTTAAGAGTGTGACTGAATAGAAACGACTCTTACTTATATCAGAGTTTCCTACCTAAGCAATATTATGGCAAAAATGACCAGAAGAAACATCTCTTTTCTTCTGGTAAGGTTTTTGTCTCTGGAAGGAAATTGGGGCATAAGAATTTGAGATTACAGATACAGGCACATTTGGAACTGTCAAACTGTTTATACAAATCACAGAAGGAATTTGAAACAATAATTACTTAAATAATTTTACATCTGTAATCTAAAAAAAAGTTTGGAAAACAWAGATTCCTAGTTTTCTGCTGTTTGGGAAGCAGAGGTTACCAAGACGCTTTCTGTAGAAGCTGACTTAGGTGCAGTTCTTGCAGCTGRTATGTGTAGGGTTAGTTGGTAAGAGTAAAGTTTTCTTGTAAAAGTAGACTATTGCAGTACCATTCTACTGCAGATTTTTGGTTTACAGTTTTGAAGATTGGAATGTTTTGGTTTACAAGGAAAGCACAAAACACAGGGAAGGCAGTGTGTTGAATTGGGGAAAAGAAAATGTGTGGCTCTGCTAGCAGCTTCTGGAAAATCTACTGTCTGAACAAACTGAAGCACATGAAACTTTTTAATATCTGGTTTCACCCCCAAATTCATGGTTTGATTTTCATCTTCACAGAGAATGAAGAAGTGCAGTGCTGTATCAGATGTTTGGTTCTTTATGTTTTATGTGCTATTATGTAATATATGATATTATTTTACAGCCTGTTGATAAAAAGCACTTGGAAATCTACAGCTGTACAGCCACAAAACAATATGAAGAAAAAGGTATTAGTTTACAAACCATACAGGTTGTTATTCTTTTGACATGCAAGATTTTTATTTCTTTTGATGTAAGTTCTTTCATTTCTGATGAGACAAAAATTAAACTTTAATACTCTTCCACTTTTTCTGACAGAAGAAAGCAGAATTTTATTCCATAACTTTCCAATGAGAAATGTTTTGCTAGTATTTGAATTTTCCAATTTTTGTCCATTTTCATTCAATTAAAATTATGTAACCAGTGCCCTTAGAAAATCAGCATTCATGGTCAACAGTGAACSTCTTCTTTTTTTCAGCAGACCTCATTTTAGAGATGACGATCTGGATGATACTTTGTGCTTGGTAACTACTTTCAGAAATGTCTGTTTAAAGATTRATCTGTGTGCTGTATGCAGACAGACAGGGACCTGAAGAACTCTCTGGAGCAGAGGGTTTGCAGTGTGCAGGACATGCCAGACAGAGATGCAGGTAATCAGCACCTGATGTGACAACATGATGGTACCGTAGCCCCAATGTCTAAACTTAATTGAATGTGTATGGGCCTTGAGATCCTGTGACAAAAATGAAATGAGCTAGCCCTTATTGTCACTTCAGTAAGGAACTAACAAGGAGATATTAAAAAAAAAAAAAATGTTGGAAGCCCCTGAAAGCTAGTGAACCAGTTCCTTTAGCTGAAGTGACAGTGTCTGCCAAGAAATCCAAGGGCCTACATTTTTCTCTTTAGAGCAATTAGTCAATCACAGACCTGTGAAAAAATGTGTCCTACTTCATACAGCTGTGCAAGAATTACTTAAAGTGATAAGGTTACTGCAGTGAAGCCTGGCAAAGACTGGCTTGTACGCTGTTAGAGTCACTAGCAGCATGCTAAGAAATGTCAACAGTAATTAAACCCCATCATTTTCAAATATATGCCATGCTTTGGCAATGGTGAGGAATGCTTTTCACAGCAAGAATTCTCAGCCCTGTGAGCACAGAATTTTTCTAAAGCTTTTTTTTTTTTTTTTTCTTTTTATGGGAAGAAGATTTTTTCCTTTTTCTTTTGGCAACACCATTTTGAAAGATGTTTATTCATTAAAGGAATAGTAGCAAAAATCACAGAACTACAGGTTTCTTTTCTAAACGTGTCACAGTTCTTACTGAGCTTGCATTTAAGGATTATCCCTGCATGTAATTCCGAATACACTGCATGGAACCTATTTTAAAAATTTGTGAAACACTTTGGCAAAACATCTATTTACTGAAAAGCGACATTTCAAAATACTGAAACGAAATTGTGTTCTGGTTTTGGCAAGTCCATTTTTGAGAATCTGAGAGATATGGTGATGGCAAAAATTTGTTATCGTGTGCAAGATGGATATGTTCCTAAGTGTGCCAGGGCAGCTCTGGCCAGCCCTACCTARGGGATCAGTGCACTGCTGAGTGCTGCCTTGGCACAGCTATCAACTCAGAACAGGCACTGGAGTTATGTGCTTCTGAAAGCAGAAAGGCAGAAAACCAAAAAGTGGAGACTTTTGTACTAGTTTGCTCACTTATTTACTCAGTTGAAACCTTTTTGTTTGAAACCTGTATTGTTTTTCAAGTTTACATTACAACCAAGTATGACGTCAAAGGTTGAATCTCACTCCTGCTGGAGTCAATGGCCAAACATTCATTTTACCTGGMTAGGGCCAGCATTTTGTTGTTAGGAAACATCAGCTGTCCCCCACAGACAAGAAGTAGCTTCTAATATGATAAAGCATTTCCCTTACCGTCCAGTAAAATAGTTTGGGAATTGTAAAATAAGAGACTTCTGTTGCAAAAAGTCCTCTCAGCTATGACTTTGAACCATATTTAGCTTTGCTGTAAACTTCTTACAGTCATCTCAAATAAAAAATTTACTTGGGACTACCCTTTTAGAAAAGTGGGCTGAAGACATAATAACAGGAGAATACACTAATGCCATTTAAGTTAAATAATACAATAATAAAATTTTGACTGCACTTATACCAGAAATGGTTACTTAGAAAGTGGTTTGTATTAGACACAAAATGCTGAAGAAGGGAATTAAGAAAATATCTTACAAAAAAGTTCATCCCTTTTTCTCACTTAATGCACATCAAACTCAATTCTATGTTGCAATTTAAAAATTACTTTAACTCAATAGAAATTTTAAGAGAACCAGTGGAAGCTTCCCATTACCTTAGAACCTACTGCTGTTTTAACAGATAGATATTTTGATTTTATTGCTTATTGCTATTTGTATAAAAATTGTGAAGAGCATTTTTGAAGTTTTCATTGCTTTTSTATAGAAAAGGATGATATAATTATGCATTTAATTCTACAAGGATCATACAACTGTTTCTGGTTTGAATGAAGCAGTGTCTTGAGAGAGACAATGTCTTGATTAAGACAATTGTTAAGAAACATATTTCAGGGTTAAGAGATGTATTTCCTGGCTGAAAATAGAATCCACAGTCAACAACAGTTGACTTTAACATTAAACATAAACTTTAAAATCATTATAAGAACCTTTCAGGATGATTATTCTTCCAACAAAAAAAAAGTTAATAATAAATTCATTATTTTCTTTAGTCCAAAACAAACCTGTGAAAGAAGTCTGCATTTTTCATTGCCAATATCCAAATTCGAATCAAGAGACAGCTTTCAACTTACTATGGTCTTTTTCTCTTTTAGTGGTTCTAGCAGACCATCAATGAAACATTTACCTGACTAGTGTGGCTCTCCCTGTGTCTTTGAATTGATGAGCCTGCTGTAGTGCTGGCCGACAGTCTTGAATATTCATTTTCCTCTGGTAAACCTAAAGCAGAAGAATACCAATTTATAATTTGAAATTTATAAATTTATGCATCTGTGGATTTCAAATTAAGATTCAAAAGACCTTGATATGTTCCACTAGAAAAAAAAAAAAAAAGAAGAAGAAATCACACATTTGCCTATTCGCCTGTGTATTTCCTGTTTCCATGCTTATTGAAACCAGGACAATTCTTTTTTGCCAAGTAGGGATAACATCATTGGTATTCATGCTGGTTGACAAGAAGGAGCAATTGCAATGTAAGAGCCTGCAATAACACATCACCTATGCACCGGCCAGGGATTCCTCCTGCAATGCGGAAATCCCTGGCTCCTCTTCCCTTGGCTCCTCTTCCCTGGCTCCTTTTCATGGCAGAAGCAATGCAAAAGGAACAAAAAACAAGCCTGCAGCAGTCTGCTCTCAAATTAATATCTCTGTGTCACACAGAAAGTCAATGTTAGGTCCAGGATTCAAAATTTCCTTCCCTCAGTGCAGAACCTGTTTTTTTTAAGTCTTAAAATTATTGTGTGCAATCGATGTGGGATTAAGCTGTCCAAAATTTAGTGGTGTAAAAACCAGTCCTCCAGTGTACAAGAGCGAGGTAGTCTCCTTCTGTAGTCAGGAGAAACAATCACCTCTGCAAAGTGATCCTATACTGAGGCTCATTGCTCTGCTTCCCCACCATTTCTGCCGTGTGGGAATACCATTCCCATAGCACTACAAAGGATCTGAAAAGTGGGATGGAGGAACCAAAGGCAGAAACACTGGAGTCCATGACAGGCATTATGAAGCACCTCACAAACCACAATCACAGGCACCATGGTAGCTCTGTGTAGTGGGTCCAGCTGAGCTGGAGGTCATTTTTCCTACGGCAGTCCTCAGAGGGCTGTGCTTGTGGTGGGTTGGCCCTGGCTGAATGCTGGGTGCCCACAMAAGCAGCTCCATCACTCCCCTCCTCAGCTGGACAGAGGGGAGAAAATATCATGAAAGGCTTGTGGGTAGAGATGAGGACAGGAGAGATCACTCCCTAGTCACTGTCATGGGAAAAACAGACTCAGCTTGGGGAAATGAACTGAAATTATTTATAATCAATCAAAATCAGAGTAGGAAAATGAGCATTAAAACAAATCGTAAAACCCCTTTTTGGTCTCTCTATTCTCCTTTTAGTTTCTCCCTTAAAACAGGGTACTTCCACAACTTTGTAACTAGGGACAACAGGTTTTTTAAAAATTTTCTTTGTTCTTCTGCATAAAGCATTCATAAATATGGATCTTTTCCTACACCATCTGGACTTCCCCTGAAAACACAGGCAATGAAGAAGGTGAATCTCTTGTTTGCAGCTCAGGAGCCAGATCAAATCTGTGACAATCCAGCATTTCAGTTCTTTTCTGCCTGCTGCAGAGGRAATCTGACCCTGTTCACCCAGTGAYAGGAACTATTTATTATTTTGAAGYGGGATTATCACTTTTTGAAGCTGGGCAATGACATATTAGGAATTTACATGAGCAAGGTGTAACATCCAAGTCCTCTGGTATACTACTGGTCTTGTAAATTATATGTAAGTTACCACTATTGCTTTCTTACCTACATAAAATTATCTGTACTCCACCTTCAAATTCTCCCTTTGCAAGATCACAAATTTTTGATCAAATTAAGTGATTGAAATTTAATTTCTCTCTAAGAAACCTAAACAACTCCCATTTTCCAAGTATTTTCTGAACTAATAATTTACCTACATGGATTCAGTTTTGATATATCTCAATTAAAGTAATAAAAAATTATCCATATTTTAATGCAAAGTACCTTCYAAAAGTAGGTGCTATTCATTTAATTCAAATAAAAGACAGGATGCAAAGTATTTGCATAATTCTAGACCACCAGGAATGAATGAAAATACTTTCCTAGGCCAAGCAGCATGTTCTGAAAAATATATCGATTTTGTACTGTATTAATACACTTTAGGATTGACTGTCCAGGACAGCCTTGAGCTAAGAATCAGATTATCAGTGATTTTCTGTTTATTTCTGTAAAAAGCACTTTGATAAGAGTTCTTGTCAAGTAAGTAAAGTTTCCATGCACAGCAAGAGCATGTTGTCACAGCCATGGAAAGCAGAGGCTTGGTCAAGTTTGGAAAGACAAATGGAGTAGTTGATTACATACTAAGAGCTTTCCTTCACATACACCTAAACAAATACCAGGATACCACAGCTGTGCATTGAATAAGAAATTGCTTAATTCAGTCCAAGGCTGGAAGCATCAGTTCAGATGGGCCAGGGGCAAAATTACAAGAACCTAAGTTAATGAGAGGCTCAGTCTGGAGCACAAACTGCCATCTGGATTGGGCTTTCCTGCAACTATTCTCAAGTTACCAAAAGTAAGTTTAATTTGGCTTTTTTTTTTTTTTTGGCAAAATTAGTTTTGCTATACATTATTGCTTTGCTATACATTATTGCTGCAATTACATGTGGTACTGTAATTTGGGGGATGTGGGATCACAGCTTTCAGCATTTCAATGTAAAAGGTTATTAGAGGCTTTCTGATTATTTTRTGTATTTGGCAAAAAGCTCTTTCTTTGAGACTAAAAGCTCTGGTGAGTGTTGAAGTTTTGTGGTGGAGAAGTCACAGTTTGACAGCACAGAGCTGTAGAAAGGTGCTATGCTTCCTTTTAAAAATAAACTAAAAAAGATGAGCAATACATTATATTCATTATACAAAATGAAAAAGCAACAGCTAGTAAAAAATACGAACTCAGAGATGTGTTATTAATGCCTATAGAACCTTGAAAGATGTTCACTGCTCTTGTACCATTTTCTTTTACAAYGATAAACTTYTCATTCACTAGCAAGRCAYCTRTAGMAAAMGGAGATCCTGATTTTCTATTTTCTRTCCCATTTGTAYTGATTATAGGATCAGAATCTCAAATCTCAGTCCTCCATGCCTTAGGCTGCTTATAGATTGGAGCTGAACTAATTACAAATTCCTCAACAGAGGCTGTTTTATTTTCTTCACATTCAGCTTTTATTGGAGAGGGGTTTATCAGTTCACACATACGAAGTTAAGCCAGTTCCAGAAGCAGATATGTCACAACTCAGAAGATTCCAGCCTGACTGTATCTTACAAAGCTCATTGAAGGAAACACTTCAGCAATTTTATGTTAGAAGAGCTTTGGGATTAAAAACTGCTTACCATTTGATACTGAATTTCCATTCTCAGCAGTCACAGAACTGGACAGTGGATTAGATGACTGAGTTCCATGGTTATTTGCATTTTTGTCCTGTGTTTCTGATCCAGAATCTGATGTATTTGGATCATCCCTGCTCCTCAAGTTCAGATTAGTTTCAGCACCTGACAGAAACAGAAAAAATGCTTGTCAGCTTCCTACGGTTTTCATATGTAAGTAGACTAAAACTAACACAGAGAGAAGTTTATTTATTAATCAAAGTGATCAACAAATTAACAAGTCCAGTGATAAATGTGAAAGGTTTAAATCAGTGATTTCTGAAGGTTTGTTTGGTTTGGGTTTTTTTTGCTACTGCTTCACTTCTGGCTTTTTAAAGTTTAAGGAAATGAAAGGCATTGCGAAATTTCATATGCATTGTTTCCTTCCACAAAAATATCAGTGGATACAACTCACCAAGTGTTAATATTGCCTCTATTTTAGATTCTATTTCACATGACTACACACCACCGTCATCACCGCAATGCCTTTCATCATTGTACCAAGTGATATTAGCAACAGATATAATGGGATCTTATCTTTTACCTCTTCTCACAAGAAACAAAATGGCTTTTGMGATTAAACCATAGCAGCAATATTCCCCCCAGCTGAGCCTCCCCGTGGCCATTGTATACCCAGCCTCAGGGCTCTCCAGCCATCAGTTGTCATTTTCTATAAAGTGCCAGGTTTTCAAGTCAGAGCCTTTTATTTAAATTCCTTCAAGCCGTCAARAGCAGGTCTGATCCTGTAGGAGTTCTGAAGCTCTGTACAATGCACGTGCATTGGTTCAAAGAGAAGGGCAAAACAAAGCCTTTATCCTCTTCCCCCTCTGACTGATCGCACATCCATGCAAAGCAGAACAGCTCACAGCAAAGTGCCTGGAGCTGGCTCTGAGCTCGCCTGGCTCTGTCAGCCCAGTGCTCCACCAGAACCAGGGCTCAGTCATCGGCTGTGCCCAAGGGGGCTCCCCACTGCAGCTCAGAGCTGGAAGAGAAGATGGATGGGGACRGTAGGAGGGACCCCACTGCAATATCTGCATCCCTGGCTAACCCCACTCCACTCCAGTGTGACAGGGCTGATGAAATCCTGCACTGGCAAGGTTTTGAAATAATGCATTTTTTTAAATTTTTTGTTTGTTTGTTTTGTTTTGTTTGGTGTGGTTTCTTTGTTTTGCATTTTTGGGTTTTCTTTGTGTTTGTTGAAAAATCCATATTCTTCATATTCTTTCCTTGCCATAGTCAGGCTTGATTCATGGAAGACAAATCTCCATTTGGTGCTCTCTCCATTTCAGTCTTCCTAACTCTTTGCATCCCCTCTGAGAGCTGGCCTTAGCTGCAGGGATGATGTATTACGGCTGATCCTGGAGCAGAGGTCTTCTTGTAGCACTCTAAAATGGAAATTCTCCTTCTATGACAGCTCTGATTATTATTCCTTGATTTTGGTTGTGTCTATTTAAGCTCTGTCATAATGACAGCAAGAACCAATGGAGGTCAAAAGACCAGCTATTAAAACCAACATTACAGCATTTATCCATACTTCCAATAACATCCTTAGTTCTCCCAAAGATATGATATATTCTTATAAATCTCAAGCACATGAAAGTTTTTCAAGGGGAAGGAAAAACATTTTTTCACCAGGTAATAGATACTTAACTGGGAGATTTTCCAGCCTAATGTTGACTGTAYGGTCAGTTTTTCATTTTTATGCCTGAACTGAAAAACATCCATGTGATTTTAAAAGTACCAACATAACAAAAAATAATTATGAAATGAAAACTGTAAATCCATTCTGGTTAGCTCAAAATATTTCATCTAATTGAAAAGGTCATTCTTATTTTTGTTTAACTTTCARTTATGTAACTCTGAATTGTTCTTAGTATTTCCTTGTCTAAAAAATATCTGTCTTTAAAAGTCAAAAGGCTCATTTTCAAGCTGTCAGATAACATTTCCATTTTTGTTTGGATTTTTTCCCTGCCTCCTTTGCCCTCATTCCCATATCATTATTTTTTGCCAGACTGACTGAATTGTTTCAGTGACGCTGTTTCATAAAATGCATCTTTAGGCAAATGTGCTATGCATTGAAAAAATTAGGCCAGCTCTACCCACAATAACTGACTTGGGAGAGGCGGTAGAACCAAGTCTGAGATGGAAAATGCATACAGTACAATTATAAGAGCATGCCTGATTTAGCTTTTGTACAAGCAAGTTGACTGCAAAATGCATCTTTGCAGCTCATTTTAAATTTGTCTGAAAAGGAAATGTCACTTTTCAATGTTCATAGTCAGTGMACTTGCCTATAGATCACAATCCACCTACATAATTACTGTGCCATCTTTTACATAAAGCTTCTTGGGGAAGTGGCTGGGATCCTTATTTTTCTTGATATTCGAAAGATTTATTGATTTGCCTGACATGTGTAATTCATTTGAGAATGAGCAAGTAGAAAGAATTTTTCTTGCACTMCTGTTTGCAGAAGCCTTTTGTTTCATAGGTACATTGATATCTTTTCAGGGCATTCATGAAGGGCTCTAGGAAAAAGAAAATTACCTTTTCTTATTTTTATCTGCAGAATGAAATACTACAAAGAATTGTGGATAGCTACTGTTGAACTAGAATATCAACCTAAAATGGCAGAAATAAGCAGTGGACATATATACAGTATAGCTTTGGGGACAGCTATCTAGACAAAAATTTGTTACCCCATCTGCTGTATTCAGACATTGTAAAAAAATGCACACCTTTAGTTTCTAAACAGGAAACTATATAGAAAAAATATATTTCATAGTGCCTTATTTAGCTGATCTCAGGTGTCAGWAAGAAGCCTGTATTTTATTTGAAAATAATCTGGATTATATAAAGGTACCTGAATTAATTTCCTACACATAGGCATCTTCAGCTCCTCACTGAAGCAGATTTTCCGTGAGTCTACAGAAAAATTCAACTCTGTACATCAGCAAAATTCAACCAGACTTCAGGAGAACAGCCCTGAAATCAGCTCTGCCCCACAGTGGACAAGCTCCCCCTGCCCCAGCCTCTGCTCACAGGAGCACGCTCCAGCCCTGAGCATGTAGGGTGTTCTGGGCTCCTGAGTACAAGAAAGACATGGAGCTACTGGAGAGGGTCCAGCGATGGGTCACAAAGGTGGTTAGGGGATTGGAGCATCTCTCTTACGAGGAAAGACTGTATGAGCCCGGCTTGTTTAGTGTAGAGAAGAAAAGACTGAGAGGCAATTTCATCACTGCATGAAATACCTCAAAGGTGGATGTCAGGAGGGAGGATGGTGCCAGGYTCTTTTTGGTGGTGCTCAGCAACAGGACAAGGAGCAGTGGCYGTAAACTAAAAGACAAGGTGTTTCACCTTCCACCTTCTGAGGAAGAACTTTACAYTGAGGGTGGCAGAGCACTGGAACAAGCTGCACGGGGGGCTTGTGGAGTGTCCCTCTCCAGAGACATTCAAAACCCACCTGGRTGTGTTCCTGTGTATCCCGCTTTAGCAGGGGGTTGGACTGAGTGATCTCCAAAGTTCAGTTCTAACCCTAACAATTCTGTGATTGCTGGTGTAAACTCACTCCAGGTTATTGGCATTTTCTGTATTGGGAAGCACAAACTGGTCAAAGTACCCAGACRTGGTCTAACAGTGAGTGCTGGGTGGGGGAAATGACTGATGCTGGCCTGGGTGCTGCTGGCTGTCTCTGCTGCCAAGGCTCACTGCTGGCYCYTGYCCAGCTCCCACAGCCCCCAGCACCCTTCTCCCAGCCTGATCCCTGCATTACTGTAGGAGGTAACCTTTCAAGGTGCAGCACTTTGCATTTGCTTTTTTATTAAACATGCCAGAAGGTCCTAATTTTATCTTCTGGTAGCCTTCTCTTTCCCACCTCCTCCCAATTCAAAATATCCCTGAGCATAACAAAGGCATGTCCTAATATTTTAACATAATATTTCTATTTAAAATTCAACTGATTCCTATTTTATCTGTCAAGTATTGGTCTGAAATGCCCTCTACCYTCATGTTTTCTTAGTCACCTAACACAGAAGTTTGGACTTCTCTCCACATTAATGTCAACTTGCTCCTGCTGCCATCGTATCTTGCAGATACGAGTATGCACTTCTCTCTCATCCCTTAACAACTTTATGAAACTATCAGAAATACTTTAGGAGACAGAAAAAAAAMCCCTTATGGTTCCTACATTTAAACATCTTCACCAACATGGTGAATCTTAGCTTTTTGTTCAGATCTGCTGTTCTTACTAGATGGACATATTATTTACCAGGTTTCAATATTTTTTTTTAAAGTGACATCTTTCACAATTTTCAGCTGAAGCTTTCATGAGTTTGAAGAGTCACCCATACCTGCTTGCAAAAGACTAGTTACACAGAGGTATCAGCAGAGGCAGCATGGTGGAAGTCCATGACTATAAAAGGAATACAAGCTTCAAGTGAAAACTTAGAGAGTCTGCAAATGTGAACAGTATTTGGATTATTATTTCAGTAAACTGACTTTGCCAAAAAGATACCTCTGACTCAGTAAAGTTCTGCTCTGACTAATCTTGCAGTTAATGAGGATGTATGGACTAATAGAATGTACAGATGTCTGCACTGAGGGCATCATTTGTCCCTCAGCTGTAGCATACTTACTAGCTGAGAGCAAACATATATACAGTGATTTTAATAAGAGGATGACAAATCAAAGTGTAACAGTTATTTCCTTATAAACAAGCCCTAACAAAATCCACAATTAATTACATCAATGTTACTTGAAAAGTGCAAGAGACACAGTATGCAAAAGAGGCAGCTCATGAAATCCACAGTTACTCATTATTAGTGTTCTTGGAAGAGACTGAGTTTAAAACTCAAGGTCATAAAGCACAGGATGCATAGAATTTCATTTATTATGTAAAAAAACAGAGTATGGCAATTATGGAAATTAATGTATTTTCTTTTTTCCCCCTCTTTTGGAGTCACTAATCTCACTTTTAAAAGAAATCAATACACTGAAAGTCTACATGCTAGAACTTTTTTTCTCAAAAGAATCACTTAAATTCTTTTAATTGAGTTATGCCCTCCAAATATCCTATTATAAAACTCTTCTTTATTCCTCAAACATAAAATGTATGATCCTAAGATCATAGT